CTCCGTGGCCACTATCATGATCCAGATGATTTAACAACATTAACTCCAGGTCATTTTCTAATTGGAAGAGCAATTATATCTTTTTCCGATCCAATAACTACGAACATAAACTCGGACGTTGTTGGAAGATGGAAACTAGTTCAGAAAATTAAGAAAGATTTCTGGAAGAGCTGGACAAATGACTCTATCTCCATCAACTTCAGCAACGTTACAAGTGAAAAAAAAAAACTGGAGATTTAGTACTAGTAAAGGATCAGAATATCAACCCAAGCGAATGGCCACTAGCAAGAATCACTTAAGTGCATCCAGGTAAAGACACAACTGTTGACAGTGGTCACTATAAAGAGAGTAAAAGGAGGCTCGATTGAGAGATCTACGCATCACTTAATTCCAATATTGTCAAATGCTGAGGCTGAACAACAGCCAGTCGAAAACAATAACAGACGAAGCCTAAGATAGCACTGGGAAAATATATTCATCGCCATTTTATTCATTGTGATGCTTTGAGAATCCAAAGCAAATCAATACCTATTCGATACATTATCCTCAACCAGGACTGAACATTAGGTACATGAGACATGCACAAATACACAGGGGCACTTTTACAGTTGACCTTAAATATAAGAAAAACAAAATAATAAATGATTCTATAATCGTTCACGATGCAATTTATCAATTAGACGACCTCTGTTAGCAAGTAAAATCAATAGAAATGAACACACAATGCATGTCACTGATCCATCATTTAAAAGAAAAGGAAAAATAATTTCAATGGATAAAAAACGGACTACAAACTGTGGTATCCAAACGTGAAAAAAGAGGAGTTTTAGGAAACTTTTTATCGCAGTATTCGGAGTAAACGATGCTACATGAATATTGATGAATTAGACTAATACCAGAAGGAGCTTATCAAGACATCCAACCACCAAACCAAATTCATGCTACATACTCATCAATGAAGAAGGCATTGCTTCGATAAATGAAATGAAAATATGGTATTCAACGGTGGATGCAAATAAATTGACAATTTACGTTCTCCTCCGATCCACGTTGAAGAGATAATAGCATCTGCATCAAAAAAGATTCCGTCCAATATCGAAATAATATATTATCCTGTGCTTCTGACTAAAGTGGAAGACTTGAAGAATTTATCCAGGTTCATGGATAATTTGTGATGATAGAACACAACGAATTTATGCTAATCAGATCGACTCCAATTCCATTAAAAACAGAAAAAAAGTCATACTGGATCCAGGATATTCCAAACGAAGTATCAATATTATGATTCACAGCTATACCTACTTCCAAATATCTAGTTGAGCAATAGTCTGAACATATTGCAGAAAATGTTTTTGTATGTTCACCAACCACTACAAGAGGCACACAGACAAGTCCTGATTGCATAATAGACCAAATATATCAAAGAGAAGAAAATACTTCTTGCAAAATCCTACAGCAATCCATAGCATCAATAATATGGAAGCAGCTACACACAAACTCCAAACTCATGGTTAGCAATTACGCCTGAAAAAACTAAAACTGCCATTATTTGCGACGGAACCTGGGACCATGTGGCACTAAATCAGACAGCTACTATAGAAATATCTTCAAATTTCCTCATTGAAACTAAGGTCAGATACTGTCATTGTCTCAGAAGCATTCTCCAAACCTATACTACAAAATATATCATTATTCCCAGTTATGCATGAAAACGAAATCACGCTAATTGATAAACCTGTAATTAATGCATCCAATAAGTTCAATGAATTCAGGAATGAAGAAATGAACATCAAACAACAGATTTTTGTCAGCAATTTATTATTTCTAATTAGTCACCATTGTTCATGATATACAGTGTATATCAGCAAAATGGAATAAATTCAATAATAAATAAATGGGACACTTTTCGAAAAAACGATCGAACACGTTAATTTTGTTTTTTTGCTTAAGATTTTTTCACATCAATTTTTTTATACAGGGTGTTCCGAAAACAGTTGTACGATTATCAACTTTAGTTTTTTTAATGGTACTCCCTGTATATTATGACATTTCTGGATTCTGCGGAAAATTCTAGACATATTTCATGTACAGGGTGGTCATTTTATCTTGATAACATTTTAAACTGTCATAATTTCTTTATTTTTAAAGTTATTTAAATAAATAAAAAAACATACTGTATAGTTGTTTTCCAAGTTTTAGATAGGATGGAGAGAAAAAACAAAAGACTAATATGTTTTGACAGCTTTGCACACAAATAGTATTTTTTTAAATGGAACACCCAGTAAATTTCAAGTTTGTTTGATAATATGTTTTATTCTGATTGCAATAGGTATATGCAAATACAATACAATTGAATAGAATTCACTTTATATTTACATGCAGAAATGTTTTATTTATTCTAACTGAAAATATTAATTACTTACACAGATTACCTGCAAAGGTAGGTAGGTAGACAGAATTTTCCATTAGAACCAATCAATAAAACACTTCTGTAAATATAGAGAAAATTGTATTCAAGTATATTGTATTGTATGTATCACAATCAGAATGAAACATAATATTATCAAACAATTTAAAAATTTACTGGGTGTTTCATTCAAAAAAATGCTATTTGTGTGCATAACTGTCAAAATATATTAGTCTTTTGTTTTTTGTCCACCCTTTCTAAAACTTAGAAACCAACCCTACAATATGTTTTTTTATTTATTTAAATAACTTCAAAAATAAAGAAATTATGACAGTTTGAAATGTAATCAAGATAAAATGACCACACTGTACAATGTCATATACCTATCTTCAACTGTTTTGGAAATATTGACAGTTGAAAATTGACTTTTTTGCATCTTGGACAGACTGTAAAACCTGAACGGTTAATTTTACAGCAAAACCGATCATAGATTCTCATCTTGGTTTTTCATAAACTATCATTTGACACCAACTTTGAATTTAATCCATGATTAAAAATTTCGCTTAAATTATTAATCTCTGGTTAAATTCAAAGTTGCTATCAAATGATAGCTTATGAAAATCTCTAGGAATGTGAAATCGGTTTTGCTGTAAAATCAACCGTTTCGCTTCTACAGTCTGTCAAATGTCAAAGATGCAAAAAAATCAATTTTCAACTGTCAATATTTCCGAAACAGTTGAAGATAGGTATATGACATTGTACATGAAATATATCTAGAATTTTTCGCAGAATCCAGAAATGTCATAATATACAGGGGGTACCATTAAAAAAACTAAAAATGATAACGGTACAGCTGTTTTCGGAACACCCTATATAAAAAAATTAGTGCGAAAAAATCTCAAGTAAAAAAACAAAATTGAGCGTTTTTTCGAAAAGTTTCCCATTTATTTATTATCAAATTTATTCCATTTGGCTGATACACACTGTATAAATAGTTGTTGATTGTTTAATGAAAATCAGTATTAATCCAACAGTGGTTCTTACTCCCCAGTTACCAAACTTCCTGGGTGGTACTAACTCAGCCTACAAACCCCAAACAACAAACTACCAAGTGTTCTGAGCATCCTACTGAATTCCAATACAAGGATTCACATAGTAAAATAAGTAAAACATAAATAGTTAATAACATATTTCCTTGGCAATAAATAATTTTTATCACGAGTTTGTTCTACAATAATTATTTAAAACTTTTTTTGCAAATTTCATTGTGTTGTGTACCTATTTATTTTTTAATAATAAGTATGTATTTATCATAAAAAATACCTACTTATCTTAAAAAATATTGACTACTTTCCTATTTTACTAAGTGATGGTTATTTGGACTAAAAAAAATTATTTCAACCAACAAAAATTTAGGTATTATCTAATGAAAAATTAATGTAGTTAGGTATTGATAAATCAATAATCGTAAGTTTTGTTTTGGAGGTGACTTTAGGTTGATTTTTCGATTTTTTCCAAGGAAAACAATTTCTACTTTATTTTCGAGCTCTGAATCAACTTACAGTTTATTTCTCTGATAAAAGAGACTAAAAATTTAAATTCATACTGGAGATGCCTTGAAATATTTTTTAAAAGGTCTCAAATAACGATTTCAGAGAATTTTCAGATTTTTCTTTGAAGATTCACATGGAAAACAATTTTAAATTTATTTTCGAGATCTTCGGATTCTAGATAAAAGAGACTCTAATCTGAAAATTCAAAAATCAACGGTGACGCCTATAGAGGAATTTTTAATTATCAAATTAAATTACAAAAATAATCGATTATGTCTCAATTATCATGGTCGACAATTCCTTAGGTATTGACATAAATAATACCCAATAATCAAGAAGAAAAACAATGATTGATTACAATAATTATCCTCATTAAAACTTCCCACGACAAACAAAGCTTTCAATCATAAATAAATAAGCTCCATATCGATCAAAAACTTAAAAATAAAATCCCATCAAGGATAAAAGAGCCCATTAATGAATTATTTATTAGTTTTGTGTTACAATAAAAAATTGCACACCTAAAAATACTAATTGAAATTAAATTAATTAAACATTGGACATTGATTCTAATCACATAGAAAAAATCCGCCCTCACCTTCACAAAGTACTCTCTTTAATAATTTATTAATTCATAATAATAGGACTAATAATTTATTATGATGAGCAAAAAATGATAGGTTGTCCGATCAATAAAAGTACCTACTTACTTATTTAAGTTTTTTTTTTTTATGAAAAGTTGGACATTAATAGATATCTTCTGTATAAAACGAGTAGTGGAGTAAATACCCCCAATTTTTTTTTTCGTATGTGTGTTCCGCCTTTGCCTAAGTAAAATAGAAAAAAATTAAAAAAATCCTACTTTGAATGAAAAAATAATAGAAAAGTCATAGGTAATTTATTTGAGGAAAAATATTAAATATAGAAATTAGGAATACAGTAGTGGGGAATAGATAATAAAAATATAATTCAAGACAAAATCATCTTGATATGGAAATATTTGCAACAAATTTTGGAAAACTACAAAAAATTCTACTTACATTTTCTCTGGCAACTTTCTCCACAGCCTCGTTGATACGAGCCTTAGCCTCGTTGGCCTTGTTCTTGTTGATAAAAGTTAGTCCGGCTAACCAGGCGGCGAGGCCGAAAGGCCAGACCCAGAAAACGGCCTTTTTCGCTATCACGCTGCATTTGCCCATTGTGGGCCAAATTTGGAATATACCTAGTGAAAAATAATTAAATTACCATTGGGAATTAGAAATAATTTTTTTAATAATATTCTCATCTTATTTTAGTTGGAAAAAATCTAGGTTGGGAATAATTATTTTGTGTGAAAGGAAACATTGTAACAGGAGTTGTTGCGGTTGTAAAATCTGTTTTTTTTTTTAAAGATAATTCCCCAAGTCAAAAATTTAGTAACTATGTTGGCAACACAAGCCTTTTCTACATAAAAATTTGGAAGCATTGACAATTTTACATTGTATTGCCAACATGATGTCATTTTGACTTTTATTTTTAAAAAAAAACAGACTTTAGATTCAATATTATAGGTACGTGATAATACATACATAAAATACAAATTTGTATCTACGACGCATTCATTAAAAAAACTAAATTAGTAATAAATCTCTAGGATACAAATTAAAGGTATCATCATTGCAAAAAAAAATTTGAAATGTAAAGAGAATTGTATGTCGGTGATAGCAGATATAGCTTGTCAAAGTACGCAGGTCCTGCTATGCTATGCATGGTAAATATCCCTAAACTTTGTCTAATGAATGTTGAACGCTGGGCAATCCCTAATCCCTGTAACCATAGGGTTCAAGTCGGCCAAGTTTTTTTACTAGTGGCCACGGCGATGGAAAGTTAAATAATAAAATTATTAAACAATAAACTAATATTATCAATAGTAATATAACGAGTGCAATGGAAATTAAATTATCGATATTTTTGGAAAATTTGCCCGAATGCATTTTTAGTTGAAAAAAAGCACGAATGCACGTAGTGCACGAGTTCCTTCCTTTTTCAGTTAGAAACATGTTCAGAAAATAAAGTTTGAATGCTGATTCGTGACTTTGCTTTAATTTTTTTTTAAAATAATAATTAACATTTAGTTATGCGTTTTATTTAATTAGATATTTTTACATTTTTTCTTTTAATACAAAAGTTTGTATAATTTTATTTCTGATTTAATTTTAAATTTTTATTGAGGTCATTCTAGTGTACTTTAATGTTTTTTTTTGGCGTCTAGAGAATATATTTATGAATTAATTAAATTTTGTTTTTGCTAAAAGATTTATGTATTTGGTATTGCCGTTGTTAATACATAAAGTGTGGAAAAGTACGGAAAAGCACTAGTGCGGCAAAGTGATACCTTTATGACCTAAAATGCGTGCAGAAAAGTAGACTTTTCTGCACGCTCGTAGAAAAAAGAATACATAAGTACATATAATAGAAAACCAAAACGTACCTAAAATATAATATATTTTTTTCCTTTCCTTTTCCGACCAATGTTGGATAAACTGATATTCATATCAGTGAAACAAAAATTATTAAATTAAACTTTGATTATTAGCCTAAACTTTGCTAATTTATATCGCAGCTATGGATGACTGAATGTGTTTATAATAGTTTTTATATGTAAGGTAAACAGATGAGGAATCGAATTATATTTTCGATTCAGAAACTTGTATTTTTAAAAAACATTTATTTTATTAATTAAAATACAATAGTGACAATCGGAAAATATGTGGATCAAATTGCTACAGGGAGTGCCTGAAAACAAATGAACGCTCCTTACTGGAAAGCTCTGGCTTAAATAATAAATATTTGCTGATCGAAGCATTTTCCTATGCAGGTGGCGGTACTACCAGTGCAGTACCGCTGATTAGGCAGTTTTATATATTTATTAGTATTGTGACATGTCGTACGCTGATAATTAACATAGGAAAGGAGAATTATTAGTATAAGGATAACATATAGGGTCTTACAATATAACTATCGTTTACTTAAGAAAGGGTTTGTTATTCTTTGTCTTGATGTTGAGTCAGTTCGTATAGTTATTTCTGAGTTCACACGCTCTGCTTTCCACGCTGTGTTCGATATAATAAATATATTGAATATCGATAATTAACAAGTTCTTTTATTTCTTAGTCCATTTCCCAATAGGTTATGGGACCAGTGTACGTGTATTCATTGCGGTTGTGAAAACCGGGAGTGTTTAATGTGACAATGGAAAATTTGAAACTAAAAAGAAACAAAAGACTTCATGCTAACAGAGCTTGAACTTAGATAAGAACACCAGAGCTCAGCAATTTAGAAATAATTATAGTTGAGGATATTTTAAAACCGATTTTAAAAGACACAATTTCAAAAAAAAAAAATCAAGTCTCTGAAACACAATGAAAAAAGTGAAACAAAACAATAGACCTATCTATTTTTACCTGCATGCGCGCGCAACACGAGGCAATGCATTTTTATTGGCTAATTAGTACAGGTGTAAAATAATCCTTTTGCACGCTGGGCATCTCTTTGTCCTTGTTCATTGCCCGTGGTCTGACAAGGATGAAATTATGCTCAGGGCCGCAACTAGAACCCTCGGCGCCCAAGGCAAGTCCAAATTTTGGCGCCCCTCCACCGCGGAAATATAAGCAGACATTTTGCAAATTTGTATGTACGATGTACGGTACATGTAAACAAATACAAAACAGACTGCACTGGTTCTCCACGAGTCTTCCTAGCTCGTGCCAAAAAATGCGCACTGAGTGTATACATAATTGCACTAGATTTCAAATGGAAAATAAAAACTGATTGTGCAGTCAAATGGAATGTAAAAACTGCACTGAGTGCACCTCCGTGCAACAAATGAAAAACGCCATTATTTTATCACGAACAGTTTTGGAACGAGTTCTCCAGACTGTCTAGGTACGATTTTTTAGGACAGAGCGCGACGCAAAACTCACAACGTAAACATCGACAGAATCTGTTCAGCCAATGACATTTGTTCAGCACGGCGTAAACCAGTTTTCTGTCCTTGTACGTCACGGTCGCCTGCGCAAAGCCAACCAATGAACTATAGTCAAAAACTGGAATGCGCACACATTGCCATATCTGCCAAAAAAATGTAACCATGAAAGATAGATGCCACAAAGGGGAATGTTGTTTTTTTCTGATGCTCGCTGACATATGACGTTTTGGAAAGTTTTGTCATATTTACCCTCACAGGTTTCATCAATTGGAATACGTATTGGAAGCAATTTCCGCCATTTAACATAATGAGTGCGACAAAAACAGGTATCCCCTCCGCAGCAGCGGCACTAGGCTTCACGTTCGTCAATATGTGTTCGCATTCCAGTTTTTGGTTATAGTTCATTGAAGCCATTGAGATTGAAGCCAACAAACCTGTCTATATCATTAGCTGTTTTCGGGTGCTATCCTTTGAGCGCTCCCGAGTTACTCCGAAGTACTCCAGCTACAGTTTGACCCGTTCGGTTTTAAGCGTTCGAGTGCAAATCGATGGAGTGTGACAGGTCACTGACAGGTGTGAAGTGTTCTAGGAGCACCCGAAAGCGGCTATTAACTTTCGCTTGATTATAGCAGACGTGCGCGGCGTTCAACAGAATGTGAGTTGTGCGTCGCGGATGCCCTAACAAACCGTACCTTACGTAAACGAATGTTAAGTGTCAATCCAAAAGTTCTTGCTAAAATCCTAGGACCGCTAGAACTGGTTCAGAAACGGTTTCGAACCGATTCTGGTTGATCCGCGAATCACGGTTCTGTAACTAAAAGTTCGGAATGTTGTGATCCGCGAACGCCATTACTTAAACTGCGTATGCGAAATAGTTTCGAACTAGTTCAGAATCCTTATGTCGAACGAGGCTATTGTAAATGTAAAAGCTGTTTACGGAAACTATGATCGAGCTAACCCGATTGCCAGCAGACGTATTTTGTCTTTTTCCAATCCTATTCATTATGGAAACATTCAGCTACTGATCGGGTTAACCCGAATATAGTTTCCGTAAACGGCTAAATAGAAAAGAGTCAAAAGAGATAATGCATGCAGCATGCAGAGGGCGCCCACGTCGTCCACAGTGATCTTGCTGTTAAGTCGGATCATAGCTGGACTCGAAGCTAATCTCTGGCTAACGAATGTTGGGCGTTACGTCATCAATACTTGAATTTATCACAGACATTGAAATAGGCTCGTTCAGTGAGGTTCCATTAACCACGTTTTTTGATATTTTTATGGAGTATTACTCACATATAGCACACAAAAAAAAATTCAGCGCAATTGGATAAATATTAAAAAAGTTATGCGGCTTTGAATAATAAAACATTATGCCTCAGAAATTCATCGCTTAGAGATGGTATGACGTCATCTCTCGAGTCAAGACGGGCTAAAGGCCGTCACACGACCAACTTGAGAGATGCAGTGACGTCACCGCGTGTTTCGAAATTTCCAAACTTGGAGCTTTTTGATAATTTATTTAAATATGAACAAGGGCTCGGAAAATTATGAAATTTTGCACAACTGCTAAACTCAATACGCTCTTTTAGAATATGTAATAAAAAAAATATGCTGAACGAGCCTATTGGCTGCTGCCTTTTGCACGCGCACTGATGTTGACTGACATAATTTATATGATTACTATCGATATTCGTATTGTTGATGGTTGGCAAAGAGAGATGTAACAAAAGCAAAATAAATTTCCGTGCTACGACAAATGACGCGTAAAACCGTTGCATTTTTTTGGATTGTAAAATATGGATGGATTAAATTAGGCGCCTTCGGCGCCCCGATGCTCTGGCGTCCTAGGCGGGCACCTAGTTCGCCACCCCCTAGTTGCGGCCCTGATTATGCTTGTTTTTCAACTTGACGCAGCTTGACAAGTGATCGATTTTCAATTGTTTGTGTTTTTGATTGACAGATAGGTTGCACGTCACGCGGTTTTCTTCCTTCCTTTTTTATCCCGTGCAAATAATAAGAACGGATTGCTATACGTAAGTCTTAACATAATTTGGTACGTTTTGCCTCGTCTTGCGCAATAAGCGCTCTGCGTCTTTTTCTATCTAATAAAGATTTCGTATTATCACCTCTTTGTCTGGTAAAATAGATAAGTCTATTCCATCAATAAAAAAAAAAAAAAAAATGGAACCCTTATAACAGCAACCAAAAAGGGCACAATTAGTATTCCCAGTAATATGGGCATACAGAAAGTCTTT